GGTGATAATTGAATATGTTTCTAGTAAGTACATGGCTACTGGTCATTTCTACAACGTTGTTCAGTCGGTCCTGCGGGGCGTTCGAGAATCGCGGGCGCGTTTGCCCGAGTCGAGAAGACGACCATGGCAGCGGACGGAGCCCGACCACGACGGTTGCGAGACGAACGACGATCGGTGACGAGCGACTAGTGCGCGATGTTGTGCGCTTGACGATACTGCTGCAGCCTGCAGGTGCTGAATACGATGGTCGTTGTGCCGACGACACCGGTTACCTAAAATCTGCAGAGCTCTCGGAGCGAGCGACGAAGACTATATAATATATGATGGGTACTGCGGAATCGGAGATGACCTATAGCCGAGGCGTTGTGACTCGGCCGACAGTGTCAGACACCACTGGACGAAAAGGGGAGAGAATCTGTGGTGTGAGACTCTCCGTGATTTTCGCCCTGGCCATCACACCCGTCGGCACCGTGCAGTCTGCCGCGGCCGATGGTCCCGCCGTGGAGTCGCGCACCACYGGAACTCTGAAACGTTTCGTTTCTTCRAGTCCAGTGCTATACTGACATCCGTGTTCCTATCTACCCTGTACATAAATTATAGTCATCCATCACYMATCCAYTATGAGCTCCGTGGTATCCGTCGCCGCCGAAGCCGCAACGAGTCGTATTCGTGCATTGCATGTCGTCGTGTTGTCCTCGTCGATCGCATCCGAAGTGGCTGGGCGTCCGCCGCGCCGCCAAAGGGTCTCGCGTGTCGGCGATCCCGAGCGCCCGACGTCCGCAATCCCGTCGCGCCACTGCCGGTGACCGAATAACGTGTATAAGTGACTTACCGCCGAACACCCACCTAAATGTGCTCTGTCGCGTACCTTCCTTGCCCCCACATTGCTTCGCCTTTGTCTGCTGCCCTCAACCAAGAGGGGTACTCTCGTACGGTTTCACTTCGGGAGAAAACTCAAAAAAAAAGAGCAAAATATGCGTGCGGCACTTTTCATGCCTCTCCACATGGCGTTTATGATTCGCATCAAGATGCCCGCTCGTGGAGGTTCGGGTATTGCCGGAGTGACTCCCGGGTCCAGCCTGACGAACGAGTCCCAAAAAGGGAGAGTGACATCCTTTCCCTTGGTTGGCGTGACGTCCAACGCTTCGTCATTTCGCTTAATATTTTCTTCTACGGGCGGCGCTACAATCACGTTGTCTGCAATTATTTTCATCTCATCCGGTCCATGAATGCTGGAGGGTTCCTCCGGTTGAGCGATCACGGTAGTCGACGAGTCGTCGCCCGTGAACTACTTAGCATAATTCAATAGATCCGCCAAATCTCCACAAGTTATTTCTTCTTTGTAATTATCAAATCTGTATAGCTTATTCTCCATTTCTTCGTACTCTGTGTTGCTAATTTTTTTGTCGACAGCTTCTCTAATGATGGTCTTTTCGTTGTGGTCGGATTTCTTGATATTGTAATATGCAGCCATATTGCAGGTGTTTAATAATACGCATGTATGTAGACAGAAAAAAATCAAATGAACCGTTTCCGGATTTCGTCGTAGACCATTGCCCATGATTTCAAACAAACACCGTCATTTATTAGCAGCCAGCTAGTACTCAATAATATTATTATAATCGGCCATCATCAGTTAGACTTGGAGCCCGTTTATTTTTTCAAAAACCATGATTATTATTATTATGATTATTGCTATACCAAATTACCGACTATACTTGGCAGAGATATTCTATTGTATTATAATATTTTGACGAGGATTTATATTTATCGGTTTTCATTATATAATATACATATACCGTTGTAACAACAATTCTTTTTTTTTAAATGTCACACTTTTTTTAAAAATCCATTCCCTATTTCATTATAAAACTTTTCAAGAATATCAAACATTTCATCATTATATGGAAATTCATGGCAATATATGCATAATGTAAATTAATGATGAAAATGCATCTAGTAACGGAAAAATTAATTCATTAACTTCAACTACTTTAGCAATATCATAACGATTCAAAATTCTTACGGCTGTTGTAGTCTAATGATGAAGTCTTATTTTTTCAGCTTATAAGTTCGATGTATGTTATTTTCTTCGTAAGCTATGGACAATGAATTTTCACTTGATTAATAATTCTAATTTTTTGTACGAACAAACTTTTAAATTAAAATTAATTCCAACTGCACTCCTTTTAGATTCTGAACAGAGTGATGAATGTATTGATTTTGCAATGATGTGTGTGTCTGTGTACAGCATAACTAGTCGAAATAATGCTTCGATTTTAAACTTTGGGGGTGGTTTCCGATGTAAAATTGAAGATCCTTGGTGCATTATATAGGTCAAAAGTAAACATTTTCCAACAGTTTTCAAAAAAATCGAGAAAAACAAAAAAAAAATKACAGAAAAACGGGAATTTTTACGCAAAACCAGTTATCGACCAAATCGATTTTCTTATATGGTTGTAATTCAAAAACTAATTACTGTAAATATACTTGAAATTTTCACCAAATGTTTATGTTAGTGATATTTATATACAGTTTAATTTTCAAAAATGTTTGACTTTTTTTGAGTTGTTTATAGATCACTGAAAAGAAGGTTAGGTTAGATTAGGTATATTTTATTTTTAACTTCATTCAAGTTAATTTATATACTAACAATTATTGAAAAAGTATTTKTACTATGTAAAATATAGGTATAGAATAATTTGGGATTCATAAATAAAATAGAAACAAATATATTGGTGCCCACATTTTTTTTATTACCAAAAATACAATGGAATGAAAAACAACAAATAATACATAAATATTAAGTAGGATGAACATTCACCAAATATTAAAAACATAAAATACTTTAGAATATTCATTAAATAACTAATAAAAAAACCAACAAATTATCACCAGATTACAATGAAATAGATGGGAGTTCAAATGTTATAGGTCAATCAAGTTATTAAAGATACTGTTTAAATGTAATATGCAGCAATCAATATTTTCATTTCATTAGAGCAGCAACCACTGCCTTTGCATTCAGTGATTTGAGATCTGTATATGTTTGACCAGTTCCCACAAATACTATTGGCTGACCTGTGATGTACGTCATTGAAATGGCAGCTCCAACCTAGAATGAAATTATTTTTATTATATACTAATTAGAAAATCTATTATTTTAATTTAGTTATTATTTTAATTAATTWATTTATACCTTGTCGTCAATTGTGTCAAATTTTGTGAGCACAATTCCATCAATCAAATGTGGAGTAACAGAAGACGAATAATCAGCTAAGGCTTGATTAAATTTTACCAGCTGATCAACTGCTTCATTTCCAACTAATGCTTCACCAACAAATAATACCATGTCAGGTTCATTGACTTTAATCAACTTAAAAATCAACAAACAATAAGAAATTTGAACAGGGTAAAAATACTTAGTATTTTAAGATTTTATTAAACAATAAACTACTTTGGTCAAAGCTCGCATTAATGGTTCATTATCTTGCATTCTTCCAGCTGTGTCGACAAGAACTACATCATACTTGGCTTCCTTAGCATGATTTATCGCTTCCATAGCAATTCCAGCTGCATCCTTTCCTGTAATCAACATAAACTTACTAATTGGTAGTATAATTTTTTTTGCTTCTTTTATTTCTAAACCGAATATTAACTCAATTTGGATTTAAAAAACGGTAAATAACAGTATATTGTACAAAAATAATATACAGGGTGTCTCATAGGATTTACCAATTGCGATATCTCCCGAAATATTGGCGATATCGAAATTCTGGTTTTGTAATAAGACTCCCAGGGATAACAACTACAATTATCTCATATTTTAATTTATTTTCATGTTTTGGTGAAAAAGTAAATATATTTAATAATATACATATGTATTTAGTTAAATATTTTTTAATATTTTAGATTCTGAACGGAGTAATTAATTTTATAATGACGTGTGTTTTTTTTTGTGTCTGTGTACAGCATAACTAGTCRAAATAATGCTTCAATTTCAAACTTTGGGAGTGGTTTACGATAGAAAAGTGAATATCCTTGGTGCATTATAAAGGTAAAAAGTAAACAGTTTTCAAAAAAATCGAGAAAAACAAAAAAAAAATGACAGAAAAACGGAAATTTTTACGCAAAACCAGTTTTCGRCCAAATCGATTTTTTTATATGGTTGTAATTCAAAAACTAATCACTGTAAATACAWGAAAATTTCACAAAATTTTTATGTTAGTGTTATCTATAAACAGTATAATTTTCAAAAATGTTTTGACTTTTTTTGAGATATTTATAGACCATTGAAATTTTCGATTTTTATAAGAATTTTTTTTTGAAGTGTCGGTAACAAAAAATTTAGATGATCAAAAAAAGGAGCTGTTAGGTGCTTAGGGGTTACAAGGGTCTGTAAGGAACTGTAAGGAGCTAAAAGGGGCTGTAATGAGCTGTAAAGTGTCTGTAGGGGCTGCAAGGGGCTATAAGGGGCAGTAAAGAGCTATAAGGGGCTTTAAGGAGCCGTATGGTTCTACAAGGACCTAGGTATGATAATCAAAATGCTCTTAGACTATCACACATTACCCAAATTAAAGGTTGCACAAAGTTAAACAGTGGGTAGAAAATAGTAATAGTACTGAAGCCGAGTATAGTTAGGAATACTATGCTGAGATGTTCTGGTAAATAATAATTATCAATTTCAAAAACAATGACAGAAAACATAACATTTTTTTTTATAGCTAATGTAAAGATACAAAGTACCTCATTTATAGGCCTATAATCGTAAGCCAGATGGGCATTACAGTTTTAAACATTGACCTTTAAGTATAATTGAAGAATATGCATTATATAACACAATGTCATCAAACATTTAAAATAAATTTCATATTAAATACTAACCATATCCCTTTTCGTAYAGTTGTACCATTTGCTGATCATTATGTTTTTTTGCAGGATGTAGTGCATTCAAATGTTTTGTATGAGTTCTTAATTGTTCAACAGCACCTGCTCTAAATGTATCACAAGCTGCAATTAATACTCTTAGATTATTTTCAATCAACCAAAAACATATCTGTAAATATAATATAATAAATAGATTAGTTAAAAAAGGATGCAATTAATTCTGAATAATGACAATTTTTATTCAACCCATACTTTTGCAAGATTTGTAGATTTTCCAACACCATTCACTCCACAAAACGCCATAACATAAGGCTTATCGTTTTTTTTTGCCATCATTGCATCACGCAAAATATCAATCCTCCGTTTTGGTGACAATATTTGTACTAGAGATTCAATCATAGTATTCTTTACTGTTGATGCAACTGATTCAAATGAACCAAGAACCTACATAAAAGTAAATATAAATTTTAAAATGTTGTATGATTATATTTTTAATGAAAAATAATATTTTTTACCTTTCCTTCAAGTTTAGAGGAAACAGAATCACAAAGCTTAGTTGCTATTTCAATAGCTACATTTTTTGCAACTAAGTGTTCTTTAAGTTTTTCCAATACTGGATCCATATCAGTTGCAGTCAAATTTTTCCTTCCAACTAAACCTCTAAAAAAGGTGAATCAAAGTTAATATTATCACTCAAAAAAATATTGAAAATTAATCATTTACTTGAACATAGAGAATACACTTTTTTTACTATCATTCTTCCTCTTGCGTTCAGCAGCTGTTTCAAATTTTTCATCAGACTCTTCTTCGTCACTATCACTATCAATTTCTATGTCTTTAATACTTCCAACCATTTGTCCAACAATCTAATAACAAATAGGTATTTAATATGATTCCCAGGGACAAAAAGTCTGGTATGGAAATAGTTGGACAAAAAGTCCGGATTCATTTTTTGATTGCCTGACAAAAAGTCCGAACACATTTTTARCGTCGGACAAAAAGTCCGAAAATTCAAAATTGTCTATTCAATTTTCATTTATAATTATAATGTACCTTATATTATATTATAATATTATTATGTAGGTATATATATAGTATACACATGTAATATTATATAATTATATATAGTCAGTTCATGTATAATAATTATTTATTTAAAAAATGTAATTTTAATACTTTTATTACATTATTATATCATTGTACCTACTACCTACTTTTTTAATATTTTCTTATTTCTTATTATTTCTTATACCTAAAAAAATATTACGGAAATCCGCTATAGTTTGGTAGGTAGGTCTATATGGATGTAATGTTTATCGCAGCCGTACGTCTACAGTTTATCTACCATAATATCATACCTACAATCTACATGCTACAATAGCGTTATTACCACGATTATAATATAAATCTTGATAATTTCTGTTGAATTTATGTTAGGTATAAGAAATAATAAGAATAAGAAAATATAAAAAAAAAATATATATATATATATAAAATATTATAATTACACAATTATGAAAAATTAGACAATTTTGTATTCACCAGACTTTTTGTCCGACACTAAAAATGTGTTCGGGCTAGAAATGAATCCGGAATTTTCGTCCAACTATTTTCATACCGGACTTTTTGACCRATTACCATTTAATATATTTATTTTCTTAAAATAGTGAGAAGTATAGCTTAAGTGTTAAAATACTACTTTTACTTGTCACATCGGTACATTCCTACCACTAGATGGTCCCTACTACAAGATAAGTATCTGTTTTTTTTTTTTTTAAACAGTTGCAAGAAGAGGTTATCTAGTGGTCGGAATGAGACACTACAACGAGTCAGTTCAATATTAATCTAAATGGAGTTTATAAATAGCAATAAAATAAAGTTTAATTCAATATTCATAAACATTTATTTACCTCATTGTTAGTTTCAATTTCAATAGGACTATCTGCGTTATTATTTGGCTTATCTTTAGTATAATCTAAAGAACGTATATCTTTTGCCGCTCCACCTAATGGCCATGTACGCGGTTGTTTGGTAGCTTTAGGAGAAGGTTTTGGAGCTTTTCTAAATCATATAGGTATATAAGTTACTTTCAAAAATAGAAAAGTAAAAATAAATATTTTTAACACTTACTCTTTATTTTTTTTTAGTTTATTTGAATTCATAGCACCCATTTTTTGAGCCATTTTTAATCGGTTTTGAGTGATTAAGTCTTCCTCATTAAATGAAACGCCATTATGATTAACTTCTTTATCATTTTTTTGAGTTTCAATAATTTTTGCTAGACATTAATAATTAAAATATAAGAAAATCAAAGTAATTTTTGTAATTATTATTCTCTTCATTTTAAATTTAATAAGTGTTTTAATTCCGCAGCATACCTACAGTTAAACATTCAAACTTACAATTTTTTTTATTTTCTTTATCATCCCCTTTTCTTTCAATCATAGACGCTACAGTTTTTTTAGATTTTGTAGACTCATTGAATGTACGCATCTGCTTTGGAATACAGGCTTGAGCCTTACCCCATTCTTCAGCAGACTTGAGAACTTCTTTGAAATTTTTACTGAATTCAAATTCCTAAGTTGAAATTAAAATATTAATATTGATATTAAATAAATACACAATAAAATTTTACCATAAAATAGTTTTTTCGGGCCAAGTCATTTTTATACTTATCCCTAAATTCCAATTGTATGTCGTCCAGAAATTTGTCTACATATGAYAGTTGTAGTATTTTTTGAAATGCTATCACGAATACCAAATCAAACTCATTGTCCAGTCTATATTTTAAGGACAGAGAATCTTGCTCATAATTATTGTTACTACTAGTCCGTTCCTGAAATGAGTACATATTAATACTTTTAAATTTAATTGCTTGTGTAACAATTGAATATGAAAATAATTTGAAATAATATTGTATCTCTAATAAAATTCATTATTATAGTACTTATTTTAATTCATAGTATTTTATAGTTTTATAAGAATTATTTTTTAGATTTTAACAGATACACGTTGACATGTTTTAACAAAATTATTTTATAAGTGAAACCTATGTTTATCGTGTGACAAAGAAAATTTAGTATTTATTATTTACCTGAAGAATAACAGTTTTGATCAACGAATTTACCGAGGGTATGAAAAATTGACTAATTTGACTGGTGCTTTGGAAACACCAAAGGACGATTCCGCCTTTGCTGAATATTGTAAAAAGGTCCAACATTTTTGAATACGAACACGGAACCAAAATTTATAAATTTAATAGTATTTCATCACAGACAAGACTACGAGTGTGGCGCAAACTGCCAAAGTGCCAACCATTAAAGGTATTTCTTAATTTACATTTACTTTAGTATTTATCACGTATTCACTGTTTGATGTTTACGTAATCAATTTCACTTGTAAAACAGCTGAGTAAAATATATATGTACGTAAAATATGAATATGAAACGTGTAGTTACCAATTGTGTGGTTACCATTAGTTTGGTTACAAAATTGTAAAGATGCAAARTGATAACAAAGCAAACCGCGTCACAGAAGTCAGAAATATACTATAGCTTATACTTAATATCATGGGCGTCACCAGATATTCTTCTAGCAGCGGGCAAAATTAATTTTAAAAATAAAACACCGTGCCTGGGTAACAGGATATATTCTAAGAAATTTTGTCAACAACGCATTAAATTCCCTCTACCCCTCTATCAAAGGTTACATTTATAACTCTATTCTTATATAGATACATGTTTTGTGGGAACAATAGTTTATTATTATTGCAGTTTACTATGAAATATAAAAGTCAAAGAAATTATTAAAATCCACTTGAACCATCTCACAAAAWCCGTAAATACATTTCACATATAACTTATAAGTAAACTATATAGTATATAGGTAGGTACCGAAATGTGCCTAACAATGTGAATAATGTGAATACTATCTACGCTAGATATTAGGAACTATTAGTGATCGGCATGAAAATTAGGGTTACCAGACGTCCTCTTTTCTCTGAACATGCCCTTTTTAAGCTCAAATAAAAACGTCCCGGGTTTTTTTTCAATATTGGAAAATGTCAGGGTTTTTCATGAAATGTGATTTTTTTTAATAATTACCTCGATATCGGTACCTATATAATAGGTATTTATATAATTGTCTTATTCTGTGTTAGTATTTATTTATTTCTGAATCACAAAGAAATTCTATAGTATTTAATTTATTTTCTTAAGTCTAAATATCAACTAATAAATGTGTACAATTAAATATAATTTTCATGATCTTGAAAAAAATGTCCACTTTTATTGTCAACCAGAAATGGTAACCCTACGGCCTACATGAAATCCGAATATCTGAATTATTATCCGGATATCCAAATCCGGATTTATGGATTTGCTTTTAATGTGACTTAAGAATTACAAATATTTTTAAAGTATGGTAAAATAAATTATTTTATTATACTGAAAATTTAACAATAAATTAATACTTTGTATTACTATTTACTTACAGTATATTTATCAATTTCAATGATTATTTATTATTTGTTATTAGTTATCATACCAAGTACTTAGTACATACTAAGACACTAAATACATACTTAAGTAATTGTTTTTTTACAGCTAAGCGCAAAACATCGCTRGTACTTAAAATGCGTTCGAAATGCCCGAAAATTATGTTATAGAATTAAAATATTAGTATATAACAATGAGTCATTGAACGGCAATGTAAAATCAAGTTGAATAATCCGTGAAATCCGAATTTACTAAATCCTGTTTCGACAAATCTGAATAATTCGGATTTTTTAAATCCTAATATGCCCACCACTAAATTAGGAACACTCTCAAACAAATATTATTGTACTAGTACTTCAGTACTTCAAATATAAATACAATATAGGTACCAGTAAAATATTAGTAGAAAATTGACGATTTTACAATCATTATCGGTGGAATTACTGGAATTGAATTGAAAGAAACCAAGGCCCGCATACCTATTATAATATTATACAGTGAAACCTCTAAATAATTTAGTCCATTATTTAGAGGTGTCCGCTATTCAGAGTGAGGGGGGGGGGGTTAAATTCTCGAAGATAACTCGGAGAAATTAATAATTACATATTTCATTATTTATACAATGTTAATAATCAATGATATTTTAATATTTCTATTATTTTAATGCTAATATTAACTGTAGCTACTTTAACCTGTTTAGACCTTAATGCTTGATTTGGTGTATTAAGGCATTTTCTAATTCAACTGTGTTGGAGACAATACGTTTACGAATACGTTCGTATGTTTAATGGAATCACAAGCACAACTAAATACGAGTAGGAAATAGTAATGTAAGATATTTCACAATACATAAACTAAAAAAAATGTTTTAATGGACGCGATAATGGACAGATAAGATTAACTTAAAACTATAATAGATAAATAGATTTTTAGAAAGGCATTTCACGATTATTCTATATTTTAGAATTGTCAAAATCAAAATAAAATTATCATTAAAGTGTCTGTTATTTAAAATGTCCGGTATTTAGGGGTTTTCCTATATAAAAATAGTGAAAATGTCCCCATTTCCAATAAAATGTCCGCTATTTGGAAGTGTCCGCTATTTAGAGGAGTCCGTTAAGGGAAGTTTCGCTGTATTTATAACGTATATAAATAGTGTATTATGCAATATGCATAATACTAAATCATACATTCATACATAAGTACATGGGAACTATATCTATGTTCGGTGTAAGCACTATGTCGGTTACCTACCGATAAGGTAATCGAATTCCGAAAAATAATCTTTAAAATATTTTAACATGTAAAATTTAGAATTTGAAAATCCCTTCATTAAAATACCCAAAGTTCCCACAAAATGATGACATTGATGGATTTTTAAAAATATAATTTTTGAACCATTTCATAAACCTCCTCACTCGTAATATTATTGTTACAACATTATCAAGAACAAAAAAATGTATTTCCAACAGAGCAAACAATTTTCTCAACATCGCAAACAATGCTTAACAGAGCTTTACCACCACTGTTTAAGATACATAGTGTTATCGTGATCTCACCGGATTGATCTATTGACACCAAGTATCGTTGAGTTCGTCAATCCGGAAGTCTCTCGAAAAGGAAGATGAGATGTGATAATACACTGATAAGTGGGCCGGAGGAGAGGCAATGTGAGCAACAGTTCCTTCTCTGGCTCTCGGTTAAACCGGTGGAAMAAAAAATACACTGATAGGTTTAATTATATATGTAAAAATATTTATTGAAGACAAAAATTACTACACACTATCGTTAACTGATGCAGACATACATCGACTGACATCTGACTAGAATATAAAAATATTTATATACAATTTAAGGATTATTATATTATTTAAAATCTAWTGGTAGGTATAATATAATGGGTATAACTAATACAATGTCATAGTGACATAATATGACAAAATCGATGTYTTGTATTTACAGTTGTTATTAAAAAATTGATATATTTCAGTGTAATTATTTTTTAATTATTAATCATTATTTAGAATAGATTTATTTCATAAACAAGTAAAGTAAAATGAAACCATAGATATCGGGAGATGTGGCTAGGATTGAAAGACCGGTACAGCTTGTGATCTGTTGATGGCAGTCGTTAGTCTACGTATACAAATGGTATAAATGGTTGCTGTGGTAACAGAAAACTCATTCACCATGGCGTTTAATTGCTATATACACACAACACAAATTTGCTAGTCATAACATTATTGTTTGTTGTGTTACTAGGACACTAGGTATTAGTTAACTAAATAACTTTAATAACTTACAATAACCATTGAAATAACATATTTAAATGTATACATGATTCAAAGATAGTGCATACTTCTTTCTATTCGTTTTTCATACCTACCTATCTGTAGTTGTTTAATCATGTTATCGACAAATTCATTAAAATATGTGATTATATGTTAATAAATGATTAAACATAATTATGTCGAGTTTGAATACTGTAGTATATTTATGCAAAGAAGTATTTGATGAAAATAGTGAACCAACACAAATCGGTAATGTATGTGATATATATAATTATGTTGAAGTAATTAAGTGAATTCTAATATATCAGTTTTTCACAAAAAAATTATCAATTTATAAATTAGAATTATAATAGTTTATATTTTGTGTAAAGTAGGTATAAAATATTTCAAATTTGAGAATGTGTAATTTCCAAATGTTGTTCAGGCCATTCGGCTAAATACGTACTTAGTTCAGTTTATAATATATTGTATTTTATATTATATTTCTTAATTTTTTTTCTATTTGTACTTATTGTTTGTCTTTTTTTATGTTGATAGAATTTTGTCTTACGAGAGCTGCAGCTTTTAAAATCTTATATTCCTATTGTTGATTTGAGGCATAAAATATGCAGTTTAGCTCTTAGGTACGTGTATAAATAATGTATATACTCATGGGCGCCCATTGAGGGGGGGGGGGAAGACAAGGCACTTGCCCCCACTGGAAAAAATATTATGAACTTGTAGCTCAATAAATATTACCACAATATTAGTATATTACCTTATTACCGAGGCAGATTATTTGTTAAAATCACTTTTAAGATATGAAATAAGTATWAAAATACACTCATTGTTATCGTATATTAACATAATAGATAGGTCGTAGTCTGTAGTCCGTATAGGTAGGTTATATATAGGATACGTAAAATTATTTATCGCAGATAATTTGTGGTAAATCCATAAAGATCACAATATAGGTACTACAAATATTTTTAGTTTTATTTTTATTTTTTATTAATTAAAGGCTTCAAATAC